CCACCAGCACCTCGGATCCCCGGCGGCCGTCGTTTCGGGTCTCTTTGGTTTTGCTGTGTTTGTTGGGTTTTGAGTTTGGCTTGGGGTTTGTTTTGTTGGTTTTGGGGTTGGTTTTGGTTTTTTTGGTTTTTTGTTTTTTTTACAATCGCTGGCCCCAGGCTAACCCATCCCAGTGTCACACTTCTATTTCCATTTTGCTTCTAGAACTTCTCGAATGCTGTTAAGCCGCACTATATATATATATATATATATTATTGCTACTCCACGGTGAGCGATGCCATCTCTTGTTTTAAACTAGCTGGATTGCACGAAAAGCAACGAAAACGTAATAATTTCTGCCTCCAGGAAGCTAGGGGGCAGGATTAAGGATTTGCCATGGCACAGCAGCAGGTTTATGCATTAGAAATGGGACGGCCATCGCTGCTTTAATACAGCCACGGCCAGAGAAGGGAGCACGGTGGTCCAAAGACTCCTCAGGAGCTGCAGGAGCAAGCTCACGTCCCCTGTTGGCAGCACAACGAGCAAGTTACATCTCCTGGGAACACAGAGCAGCGCTGGAGTCCAAAGCTTTCTCCAAGAGCTGCGTTTTACTCCAGATGACACAGGCACTGTAGGGGAGGAGGATGCTTTCCAGCTCCCCATACGAATGCCGGCACACCACTGACAGCAAGATCCCAAGATAGCAGCTGGGAAAGGACTTTGGGATTCAGCTCTCTTTCTGACATAAAAACACAAAAGGGGACAAAAAGGAAATACAACCAATGCCAGCTCAGCCGAGTGTCTGGCAGCCACCCCGAGGTTGAGCCTTGCGCCCCTTGGTTCTGCTCCAAGAGCCAGAAAGCTGAAAGTTATAAATTTATGGAATCTCTTAGATACTTACTAATACACTAAAATCCAATGCATGCAGCACATAATGAACTTGACCTGTAATAGCCATGGACCAAGTGGCTTTTAACCAGGCAGTGAATTACTTGGAAGCTCAATATGACAAAAGGACTTTACATTATTGGTGAGGGCTGAGGATAAAACTGCTCTGTGCTTGCTCCTTATAGAACCTTGAGATCAAAACTGGGATTTAATTCATATTACTCGCTGCAGTTCTCATGATAAAGCTTTCCACAGAAGACAGCTAGAGGGAGGCTCTTTTATTGTATTCTCATGGCTCACCAAACACCCCCAAGATAGTGGTAGTCAGGGCCATTGGGCTGTACCGCAATGAAAAACACTGCTTTATAAGCTTGCTCTGATCACTGAAGGAAATGGGACATATGACATCTCAGTCATTACAGGAAAAAAATTGTTTACTTGACATAAAACAAACAGCCTTTTGTCCTCCTGGTCAAATGGCAAACAACATCCCATCACTGAGTTTTTACCTAAAATGAAACCTTTCTCAAAAGTACGACTTCTTTGAAGAGACCAAGAACCCCAAATGCTTTAATATAAAGAAATGACAAACCTGCTTTGTTTTGCGTTCCCTTAGGATTCTGTAGGGAATGCAGGAGCAGTGTAAAACAGCCACTACTTTCTGCTATTGCTGCCAGATACATGTTCTCCCACAACAACTACTGGCTTTCACTGCCTTTGTTAAAAATTTGAGAATATTCTGTCAATAATTCGAGTTTATTATTTCCTGCTTAAGTTTTTAATTCATACAGAACACTTGGCTGAAAGTTGGAAAACAAGCCCCCGGCTCGTTTGCTACAGGCAATGCATTTATTGGGTAACTCCCTGCGGTGCTTTACCTCTGGAGAACGTGGAGAGCAGACCTTGCTGGTGACAGCAGAGCCACTTTAGGCTGTTTTTCAGCAGTTAAACAGTGATGATCTGGCAGCTTCAGCTATGACATCATCTAGTTATCCCCGCAGAGCTGAAAGGTTTCAGGTACCAAGCGCATGCGAGACAACCGTCACGCCACAAGAGGTCACTGCCTCGACCCGGACCCTGACGACTCGTCACTGCCGGGCCGTGCGCGAACGTGGCATCCCCGCGACCCTCACCTCTGAGCCGGCGGGGCGTGACTATGTGGGAGACGGGCGAACTGCGTGAAAACACCGAACCGCCGAGACGGTGCCTCGAATTACGTCGTAAGAACCCACCCGCAGCGCCTCCCCCGCGGGGATGCCAAGCAGCCTCCCGCCGGGTGCACCCCCGGCCGGGACTCCGCTAGCAACACGGGTGGGTGCCGGGATGCCTCCACGCGTGCCGCAGGCGCCATCACTAACGAAGGCGACAGCATCCCCGGGGGCAGCACCCGGCTGCCTTTGCCCAGCGCGATGAGGGTGTGTCGCGGGCAGGGGGACACGCCCACCTCGCCCTCCTCGGCTTGGGTGGGCGCCTCTATCGCGACACTGGGAGGACATTAAGGGGCCCTCGGTGAGGAGGAAGAGCCCGGCGCAGCCCCGCTGCAGCCGCCCACCACAGCTCTCGCAGCCGGGGGGCTTCCCCCGGGGGCAGGGCGGGCGGCAGCACCCCGGGGCACGGCAGC